ACTATTAACTGGTTTTTTTATTTTTTAATTTTGTAAATTTGATTTTGTCTAGTTGAGTTTGTTAATTTTTTCAGTTGGTGTTTTATTTAACAAAACTAACATTGGATATATTTAGATATGTGGGTTTTCTATTTTATTTATTTTTTAAATATCTATGGTTTCGATTGGAATGATAACATGTTGGTTTTTCATCATGTTGAAGATGATGAAAAAGCTGAGAAGATGGAAGAGGATGAGGATGAAGCTGAGAAGATGAAAGAGGATGAAGATGAGGATGAAGTTGAGATGATGGAAGAAGATGAGGATGAATATGGGAGATGGGATGCAATGGGAGATGGGATGCAAGTAGAAGAGGATGAAGATGAAGATGAAGCTGAGAAGATGGAAGAGGATGAAGATGAGGATGAAGCTGAGATGATGGAAGAAGATGAGGATGAATATAGGAGATGGGATGCAATGGGAGATGGGATGCAAGTAGATGAGGATGAAGATGAGAAGATGGAAGAGGATGAAGATGAGGATGAAGCTGAGATGATGGAAGAAGATGAAGATGAATATGGGAGATGGGATGCAAGTAGATGATGACCCAACCAGCCTGTATTGTGTGGCAACATTCCTACAAAGGTGTCAATCAATACCTAGGTATGGTACTTCTGCCCTTTCTTTTCTTTTCTTTTTTTCTTGAAAATGTTTGATTATGTGCTGATATTTCTTGCTTGAAAAGATTGAGTATGTGGGTTTCTTTATGTGGGTTTCTTGCTGATATTCGACTGTGTTCTTTTTTCTTTTCTTGAAAATGCAGTATGTTTCTTTTTTTTTCTTGAAAATAGAAGATTGAGGGTGTTGCTTGTCAACAGTTGCTTGTCAATACCATATGAAATATATGTTTCTTTCTTTCTTTTTCTTTATTATTCTGGCAATATTTAGGGTGTGGCTTTTCCATTATGTTCTTGCTTTTCTTTTCTTTTGATTTCGTTTCTTTTTTTTTCTTGATAACTGTGGATGTTCGATTGTACGCTTTTGTTTCTGTCTGCCCAGACATCATATTACTGGACTATTAACTGGTTTTTTTGTTTTTTAATTTTGTCAATTTGATTTTGTCTAGTTGAGTTTGTTAATTTTTTCAGTTGGTGTTTTATTTAACAAAACTAACATTGGATATTTTTAGATATGTGGGTTTTCTATTTTATTTATTTTTTAAATATCTATGGTTTCGATTGGAATGATAACATGTTGGTTTTTCATCATGTTGAAGATGATGAAAAAGCTGAGAAGATGGAAGAGGATGAGGATGAAGCTGAGAAGATGGAAGAGGATGAAGATGAGGATGAAGCTGAGATGATGGAAGATGGGATGCAATGGGAGATGGGATGCAAGTACAAGAGGATGAGGATGAAGCTGAGAAGATGGAAGAGGATGAAGATGAGGATGAAGCTGAGATGATGGAAGAAGATGAGGATGAAGCTGAGATGATGGAAGAAGATGAGGATGAATATGGGAGATGGGATGCAATGGGAGATGGGATGCAAGTAGATGAGGATGAAGATGAGAAGATGGAAGAGGATGAAGATGAGGATGAAGCTGAGATGATGGAAGAAGATGAGGATGAATATGGGAGATGGGATGCAATGGGAGATGGGATGCAAGTAGATGATGACCCAACCAGCCTGTATTGTTTGGCAACACTCCTACAAAGGTGTCAATCAATACCTAGGTATGGTACTTCTGCCCTTTCTTTTCTTTTCTTTTCTTTTCTTTTTTTCTTGAAAATGTTTGATTATGTGCTGATATTTCTTGCTTGAAAAGATTGAGTATGTGGGTTTCTTTATGTGGGTTTCTTGCTGATATTTCTTGCTGATATTCGACTGTGTTCTTTTTTCTTTTCTTGAAAATGCAGTATGTTTCTTTTTTTTCTTGAAAATAGAAGATTGAGAGTGTCGCTTGTCAACAGTTGCTTGTCAATACCATATGAAATATATGTTTCTTTCTTTCTTTTTCTTTATTATTCTGGCAATATTTAGGGTGTGGCTTTTCCATTATGTTCTTGCTTTTCTTTTCTTTTGATTTCGTTTCTTTTTTTCTTCTTGGTAACTGTGGATGTTCGATTGTACGCTTTTGTTTCTGTCTGCCCAGAAATTATATTACTGGACTATTAACTGGTTTTTTTGTTTTTTAATTTTGTCAATTTGATTTTGTGTAGTTGAGTTTGTTAATTTTTTCAGTTGGTGTTTTATTTATCAAAACTAACATTGGATATTTTTACATATGTGGGTTTTCTATTTTATTTATTTTTTATATATCTATGGTTTCGATTGGAATGATAACATGTTGGTTTTTCATCACGTTGAAGATGATGAAAAAGCTGAGAAGATGGAAGAAGATGAGGATGAAGCTGAGAAGATGGAAGAGGATGAAGATGATGATGAAGCTGAGAAGATGGATGAGGATGATGAAGCTGAGAAGATGGAAGAGGATGAAGATGAGGATGAAGCTGAGAAGATGGATGAGGATGATGAAGCTGAGAAGATGGATGAGGATGATGAAGCTGAGAAGATGGATGAGGATGATGAAGCTGAGAAGATGGAAGAAGATGAAGATGACGTTTATGAAGAACTTAAAATAGGTCTTAACCAAGAGGACCTATCAACCCAAAAGCAGTCTCGAGTTGTTTGGACCGAAGAGCTACATCGGTGTTTTGTGGCCGTTGTTAATGACTTGGGTGTTGACAGTAAGTTATTCACTTTCTCTACAATGCAAAGTAGTTGTTATCTTAGTTGTTATTAATTGCTACAATTGGTCAATCGATTGATGTTTCTGCTTTATTTTAGCAATACTTTTATTATATATTTGTGTAGAAATAGCAATCAAATCCTAATAATATTACAATGTGAAAACTAGTTCCATCACCTCTCTTTGCAAACTTTATTTCCACATGTGTCTTCACATCCACTGCCCAGAATCCAACCAGTGTGCATTTCCAAATAACAAACAAATCCACTGCCTATGTATTCCTCTATTTCAGTAATCCTTTCCTTGGAGTAAGCTAATATACTTATTTGGTATCTCTCGAAAACTGAACAAATCAAAATTCAAATTTTCCTTAATTCGATCATGATTAATTTGGTCTCATGAGAGCTGGAAGCTGCCCAATTGGTTCCATTTGTCATGAAGTCCCAACTGTGTCTTCCATTCCCTGCCAAAAATTGAAGAATGATGCCTTTTTCCTTTCCTGTGTAAACTCTGGTTTTTTTTTTTTGTATTGCAAAAGTATATGTTTGCTGTATTTTTCCAATTGCTGTATTTTTTTTGTCAACATTATTTTGAATGCTTTCTCAAATACTCTTCCTAATCTGTAGTGCACTGGAGTAGATGTCATGGCATTATTGTTAATGAAGTCTGACACATTTGTATGTTCTTTTGATTGCAGAGGCTATGCCTAGAAAAATTCTTCAATTGATGAAGGCTGAGAAGCATCTTACTAGGGCGCATGTGGCCAGCCATCTGCAGGTATTTTTTTCTTTTCCTTTCTCCTTAAATTTCTTAAAACCAAATCTTTTCATTCATAGAACTTTATTTGTTTAACTTTATTTGTTTTTGCAATTGCTGCAGAGATATAGACTCCGTCTGAAAAGAATCAGCTCTAAGGCAACCCAGCAAGTTAATAATGTCAGTCCTTTTAGATCCTCTTCACCTGGTGGGATGATAGATTGGACACTCTTGCTGCTCTGAATGTGCCAGAGTTGCCTTCTTCGGCAACTCTTCAATTGGGTCATGCACAGAACATAAACAACTAAACCAATGGTCAACTTCAATTCCAAGCAGCCATAGTTTATGGGGTTGGCCATTTCCAAGCAGCAAGGAGTTACAAATAGTCCTAGGCAAACAAGTAATATTGTGCCATTTCAAGGGTTGGCTGACCAAAGCCAAGGATGGCAGTTATGCTTCACATCGTACCAATTTCAGCTCAACAATCTTAAATGAAGACTTGGACTTGGACTTTGATCCTCATGATCCTACTCAAATGATTGACTTGGATTATTTGTTGTCTATGTAGTTGATAACACCAATTATTTGTTGTCTATGTAGTTGTATTGTGTAGTTGTAAATGGGATTCAAATTCAATTCTGTTTGTAACTGCCTGTATTTTACAGCACAATGATGTGTCTGATCAACATCAACACTTTTTGTGAATGATTGAACAAGGGTTATTTGAAAAGAATGATGAGTCTAATGTGAATGGAAAAATTAGCTTTCTAAAATTTTTGTGAATGATAACGAAGTGTCAATACTAGCATAATTGTCCATATATTATTCAATATGTTAATGTTTGTGAATACCTTTTCCTAAAGTTCAAGAAAACTTGGGGGTAGAAACTGAAGGATCAAACAACAAAAAGAGGTCCATCCTAACACTATGTAACTTCAAGCGTACGAGAGTTCCATGTTGTTTCCATGTTCTGATGAGATATTCACTCACATAAAGATAGAGATCAAGGCAAAGGGGAATAAGAACTCGTTATATAACAAAGATGAACACAAACTGGCACCGAAGTGCAAAGAGAGCATCAGAAACTGTCATTATATAACGAGAATAATGCAACCCTCATTCTGTTTTGTTTTGTTTTTTCATATATGACTTTTTTTTTAGTGTTATTATATTTTTGTTGGTGATAGGATATGAAAAAGAGTAATTATTCTACCTAATTGGTAAAAATATATATGAAGTAAGAATATGACAAAATATATCATACGTGGACTTATATAGAGATGATACTAGCTCATTACTATTTTCGAAAGAGAAATGTCTTAATAATAATATATATATATGAAAAGTGGAGAAAATTCTAGATATTTTATAAAGTGGATCATTTTAGTCTTTTTTTATTTATTAATGGATAAAACGGTATCGTAAAATTTTACTGAGTAGTGAAAAAATATTTACTCTATTTTTTATTTTCCTTCGAGCTCTTTCTATCACACTCACACCCACCTTTTTATGTATCTGACGAGACAGACGTGAGAAACAATATGCTATTGAAATACTAATCACTCACTCTCAATGTCAAGTGGCTGCTGCTTCTAACATTTCTGTGTCATGGATTTCAATTCACCCATCATTGCTTGGTCTTTCACTATCTTTCTTCTTCTTTTTCTTCTTCTTCTTCTTCTTCTTCTCACTCACTATCATCACCATGGTGGTTGTTTGCAGTAACAACAAAGATTGATTGGGTGGTTGTTTTTTTTGTTTGCAGGGGTTCAGGTGAAGATGGTCAATTAGGAATTGGGGACAACGAAGAGAAAGAATGGGTCTGTGTTGTCAAAGCTCTTCAGTCTCGACGAGTTCGTTCAGTGGTAGCTGGTAGCAGAAACTCCCTCGCCATTTGTGATGATGGCAAGGTTCTCTTCTCTTCTCTTCTCTTCTGCAATTCATTCATTCATTCATCTTATAATTATGTCAATTTTCTCTCTTATTATTATTATTATTGTTAATTGGTGATGTAGTTGTTCACATGGGGTTGGAATCAAAGGGGAACACTTGGACACCCACCTGAGACCAAGACTGAAAACATCCCCAGCCAGGTCAAGAACCTTTCCCATGTTAAAATTGTTCAGGTATTCGCTTCTTACCCCTTACCCCTCATTTCATTTTTCATTTCACATATTGCTCTTTTGTTTTCTTCTGCTTTCCTAGTATATGTTTTTATGTTCTTGTGTTAAATTAATTTTTCAAATTTTCTATTTTTCTATGCTTTTATTCATTTAATTTATATATGATTATTGTTTTCTTAGTTACTATTTATTTTTCCTTAATTCGTTGTTGATCTTGTATGGATTTATACCCCAATTAGTTTGAGATAAAGGTGATGTTTTGCTGGTATATGAATTGATGATTATGTAATTGTGGGTTTTTTTTATTTTTTTTATTTGTTAGGCGGCAATTGGTGGGTGGCACTGTTTGGCTGTTGATGACCAGGGCAGAGCTTATGCCTGGGGTATGAATTTCACACCATACTATCATATACATATAAAAGTTTATATCTTTTGCTTCTCTCATTATCTGTGACAATACAGAGGGCTATTGTTCTCTTGATTCTTAGAATTGGCATAATAATAGAAAGTGGCAATGTGATTAAAAATATAATGTGTCTTCTCATTTTCTACTTCAAAGATAGCATACCCTCTTTTCATTCTTTTTCCATGTAGTTTCTTGTGTTTGCTGTTTTGTCCCCTCTCTCGAGTTGAATGACTTTTTCAAGACAAAATTGATTGCATACATAATTTGAAGAATGAGATAAGTGTAATATAACTTGTATATACATGTTTCTTTGCCTTTTGAAAAGTCGGAAAGTGTATTGGTGAACTTCTATTGATCTATATTAAGACAAAAAATTGAAGAATGGTTAAATACTATATAAATTTTTGTTTCTTTTAGCTCTCCAAAAATCAGAGTGTTGATACAATTTTATTGATGCATGTATTATAAGACTTCTAAGAGCAAACATAATTGATGTTAGGTGGAAATGAATATGGACAATGTGGTGAAGAACCTGAGCGTAAGGATGACACTGGTAGACCTTTGAGGAGAGATATAGTGATTCCTCAGCGTTGTGCTCCTAAGCTTGTCGTTCGCCAGGTAGCTTACATATTCCAATGCCATGCTGTGGTGGAACCAAAAATGATTTGCCTTTGTTATGTTTCTAAGCTAATCTTTGGTGATGTGCATTTCTTTATTTGAACATTAATTTTTTATGTAACTATAATTGCTATTTAAGTCTTCATCTACCTGTAATTCTTGTTCTATCCTGCTTTTGATCAACTTTAAGGGAAACCATTAAAAAGGACTTAGATCTAAATGGTCTCCTAGGAGACTTGGTTCTTGACGGAAATGGAGTTGTTTAATCCATGTAGCTGAACGCACATGGTTGAAAAATGCTTTTGTTGAGCTATAGGCTCGTGGAGTCGTCTAATCCCAACATCTGTGTGGCATGTGATCATAATTGGGCTTACCACCCTCACTCCTATAGGTTGGCTCAATAAATTGAATTTGATTCTTTTCTGTTGAGCTATTCTGCAATAAATATAGTTCTATGTGTTTGGGTTTGTATAGAAACTTCCACATCTCTATCGTAATGAACAATCATCTGCATACTCGATACCATGGCTTTTGCTAGATTGCTGTTTGATATTTTCCTAATTGCTTGAGGTGCAGGTTGCTGCAGGAGGAACTCACTCAGTGGTACTTACCCGTGAAGGCCAAGTTTGGACATGGGGTCAGCCATGGCCTCCTGGTGACATGTAAGTTTTCCTTTTTGGCAAAAGAATAAATTTATTGAGATAAAAAGAATGAATTACAAAGAGAAAGGAGGATAAAGAATCCTCCTAGACAAAAGAACAAAACTGAAAACAACCAAGGAAGAAAAAGGAAATCAATGTAATGAAGCTTCCTAATCCCTAAACAAATCTGTTATTGAAACCCTATTTAAAAATTCATGTGCTTTACACCAAATAGATGCCAAACGCCTAAACTTGTCCTACATCAAGTGACATGCCAAAGAAACCCCCTTAAAAATATGGGAGTTCTGCTGCAATTAATTGCACCAAATTGTAGCATATATTGCGCATTGCCACGAAAACTTGGCCACTTTCCTTTTGCCAAAAAATTAGTTTACAGTATTTTTATTTTTTTGCCATTTTTACATTATTGCTATTTTCTAAGTATGAATTTAATTTACAAATTAAATGCTTTTCTGTATTCAGGTAACTAAATAGTTTCTACTTTCTACTTTATGCTAACTTTGAAATTTGTTTCTTCAACTTATAGAAAACAGATTTCAGTTCCTGTTCGGGTACAAGGTCTTGAAAATGTAAGGCTCATTGCAGTTGGGGCATTTCATAATTTAGCTCTTCAAGAGGATGGAACTTTATGGGCATGGGGTAATAATGAATATGGACAACTTGGAACTGGAGATACCCAGCCAAGATCACAACCTATTTCTGTTCAAGGGCTTTCTGGGCTTACTCTGGTTTGTATCTCATTCTCCAAAATCATCTTGTTAATTTCCAGTTCTCTTTGTGTCAGCAGACAGAATAATATATTTTGACATGTACAAACTGATGCAAATTTGTGCTTGAACCAAGAATATGAAATTCCAAGATGGCATGCGGAAGTCTACTCTTAAGATTTGCTGTAGCATGGCCTATGCATTATGAAAAGGTCTATTCCTTTTCTAGTGCTACAAGAAGCACAATTGGCCAAGAGGCAACGTTATGTATAGGACATACCATATGTTGCTAAGATGGCTAGCCCAGTTTGTCTTGTAGCTGTTTAGATGTTGCTTGTATAATGTATGCTCAGTAATGTAAACTTATCCTTCTACAAAGAATTGTGGTGTCAGGTTTATTTTTAGCCTCTATCTAGTTTCACATTGTTCCCGGAGAGAGAGCAATATAAATAATGTTTATTAGTTATTAAGATATAAATTCTACAGAGATAGCTGAATATTCCGCTATATAAACTTATGTGCTTCAGAATCAGATTTGTGCTTCAGAATGTAGGCATATATCATTGTTATGATGTGTGTGGTTCAGCAGGTGTATTTGTGGTGTGTAGGCAAATATATATAATCTTTGCATGTAGGTAGAATCCCAGATAAATTCAAAATACCTACCTTTCCATCTAACGTCTATGATAATACTAGACTTGAAAATCACAAATCATTGAAATGTTAATATGGTTAGATGTACGGCCATTGTTGTTCATTCATATGTAAAATAGCTTATCTAATTTCTTTTCTCAATCTGTTTGGAACTCTAGGTAGATATTGCAGCTGGTGGATGGCATTCTACTGCATTGACAGATGATGGAGAGGTGCTCTGTTTCTGTTTGTCTGAATCTGTTAGGTTTAAATTTTAATTTCAAGAAATCTGTGTAAAATATTTTGAGTCGTTGCATTTAACACTTTATATGTTTAAAGTTTTTATTTTCCGGTTTCTTCTTCCAGAAATAGTTATTATAGCAGAAAGCTATATATACATTACTCTATTGTTCTTGGAAACAGATTTTGCATTCAAGTATTAGGTAGCTGCCTAGTACATAATTCAATTTTTAGAATTGGTTTTTATTTGTTTTCAATGGAGATGCAATTTTGATGATTTATGCATGAGTTTATAGTTGTCATAAAGTGAATACCAAATAATAATATTTTGATCTCCTGTTGCTAGATTTAATTATTTCACTCCCATTTTCTGTGGTGGTTAAGCATGTAGCATGTTACTGGAACACCACCATTCAATTGAAGTGGAGAAAATAAATATAAAACTAAAAGTGAAAGATGTTTACAATGAAGCCAGATGATTAGTTTGCAAATAATAGTAACTGTGACGACTATAATTAATCTAAAGGAGACAGGGTTGTTAGCAGTGAATGGAGATAAGAAAGTTGCTCAAGAAACTTCTTTGGGATATGCATGGAATCAGAAAATTGAAGTGCGAATTTTTTTTTTTGAGCAAGTTTTTCCAGTGAGACTATGTATAATGGTATCTTTGCTGTTATTTTTATTTCAGGTATATGGCTGGGGAAGGGGGGAACATGGCAGGCTTGGATTTGGTGATAGTGACAAGAGCAGTAAAATGGTACCCCAGAGGGTTCAACTCTTAGCTGGGGAAGATATTGTTCAGGTACTCTCTTTGTAATTATCTACTCTCTTTGATCAGTTTAACCGAAGTATGGAGCATCAGGTTAAGATGCTTGAAAATTGGAGAACCCAAATATCCAAAACTCAAAAGAAATGCACTTGGGGAGAATATACTTTGACATATTTCTCTATCTATTTTAGTTCTGAAACTGTAAATTTACCTTCTCACATATGATCCTTCTTGACATCCATATTGTTTGCTTCAATCTCCCACTAAGCATGAATTCTTACAAAAAAATAGGAAAAAATGGAATAAGAGAGAAACTTTTAAAGTTAGGGTTATTTAAAGTTAATAATTTTTTGTTTGAGATGATTTTTTTTGGTTTGTGGTCAGGTGTCCTGTGGAGGTACTCATTCAGTTGCATTAACCCGGGATGGGCGCATGTTTTCTGTGAGTACTTTTTAAACCATCTTAACTATCTTTTCCGTGATTTGGCCAAATGATGGGATACCGCTAATGCAGCTTTATTATATTGATTATTAGCAGTATTAATTCTGCAAATTTATTGGCTAATGTTATACTGGCCTTTCTAGCGGTAATGTTGCTCTTTGTGACTGGAAGGTCACGGGTTTAAGTATGGGGAATAACCTCTTTGCAATAATGTTTTATTGGCCTTTCTCTGAATTGATCATATAGAGGCATTTTATCAAATTTCACTGGAAGCTATTTATGCTATGTTTGAAAGCCTTAATTCTAATGATAATGGACTTAACTGTTGGCAGTTTGGTAGAGGTGACCACGGACGTCTTGGATATGGAAGGAAAGTTACTACTGGTCAACCAATGGAGGTACCTATAAACCTTCCTCCTCCGCAGACTATCAGTGACAGTGCAGCTGAGGGACATTGGATAGCCAAACTCGTTGCTTGTGGTGGCCGCCATACCTTGGCTATAGTAGAATGGAAAGAAGATGAATCTAAAGATTGACTCGTAAATCATAAATAAAATGGAATCTGGATAGTAGATGAGGCAAATGACTGAGCTGGAACTCAGTTCAGGTGCTTGAATTCCTGTGTTGTGTCCAGTTTGATATATTTTCTTTGTACAATAATATATATGGCACAAACACATTATTTATCAATATAGAAATGGCACTTGGCGTTGCATTGTCTTTGCTTAATTATTTACCGCACAAACACATTATATAGTAAGCTTTCCAATAAAGTAATTGACTATATGGAATTGCTCCTTGCCAGTTATTCTTATCTCAGTCTCACGATCTGTTTATTATTACTCATGCATACTTTGGTGCAAAATCGTTAGCTCACAGTTGTGATCCTTTCACCTTATAATCTTGCAAATACAATGCACAAAACAATGCCGAGTTTTGCTGAATGTTCTAAGGGTTTTATAAGAGTTATGTCGTAGGAAAAGTGATTGTGTAATGTTATAGAGATTCGTTTTGCGTGCCTTAATTTTGTTTTTATTTTTTCTTTAAAAAGTGCAGGTCCCACAAAATGTTGTGTGTGTAGAAATTTTTTTTACGTCATGTGACATATAGATGCAAATCTCATGTTCTAATTGATAAATACATGGGTTATAAGTTTCTCTTGTTAAAGGAGAAATTTATAATTTTTTTGAAAACTCATGAAATTGTGGGATCCACTAAATTTGAAGAAAAAGCTGAAGGGATGTTTTTTTGTTTGTGCAGGAGGGGTTGAAACTCACTCCTCTAAATATATAGGGTTTTATAAGAGTTATGTTGTAGGAAAAGTGATTGTGTAATGTCATACAGATTCGTTTTGTGTGTTTTAGTTTTTTTTTTTTTTTTCTTCAAAAAATGCGAGTCCCACAAAATGTTGTGTGTGTGTGTAGGAAATTTTTTTGTATCATGTTGTATGATGAATACAAACCTCAAATATATATATATATATATATATATATATATATATATATATATGGGTTATGTTTATCTCATTTTACATGAGATAAACATCTCTCCTACACACACAAAAAGGGTTGGGTCCCACCACTTTTTTTTTCTCTCTCCTCTTACATGTGGGTTCTACTTATACTTTTATTTCTACAACATGAGGTAATTCTTTTCCTACAACATAAGAAAAATATATCCCTATATATATATATATATATATATATAAACAACAGTGAGGGTGCAGGAGATAATTGTTGGACATGTTGACTCGGAATAGGTTTTAGGTTTAGGGCTAAGACCATTTGCCATTATTTAATAGAAAAGTTGATGTTGTTTTTAGCAATTGCAGGTGACAACTAAGTGCAGTTTAAAGAGTAGTTGTAGAGATTTAGGTATAAAAGGTAGTTTGACCTGTCATATGTGGAGAGTGCGCTCACGTGAGGCTTGAAGAATGGAGTTTTTGTTATTAAGAATGTTGTGAGGTGGAGATAATTTACTTTGTTTGAGAGAAAAACGTTGCTCTTTGAGATTGGCTGTATTAGTGTTTCAAAAGATATTTCAAGATTGGTGATTGTAATTGTTGATTGAAATTAGTGGACTGATTTGTTGATGGAAGTTATTTGTAGTAATTTTAAAATGACGTTGTTTTGGAGTTTAGGAAAAAAAAAATGAAGGGTATTTTAGAAATTTTACTTTTCTTTATATCATGAATTTTATTAAAATACTTTGCCGAATATTTTGGAGTTGCCGGAGATGCATTTATCTCTTATTGCATGAGAGAAATATTAATTCCTTTGTTAATTGTCTGGTGGTTTAACTTGTGTATTCTTGTTTACTTTATTTTCTTGTTCAAATCCTTTTTTTGATATTTTTTGTGTTTAATATTTTTCAGTAAGAGATAAAATTATTTTATATAAACATAAAGAACGAGTGAGGCCTTTTATCTCTCTCTTCTCTTGGAATGTCGCATCCACTCCCATGTCTATATGGAATAACTTTATCTCTAATTTATAGGAAAAATATTGAAACCCTGTTTGGTGATGAAAGCAGTTAATAAGATTTGAGTTTGGCTGGGTAAAATACAAATATTTTGAATGAAACTCCTGTTATCGATCTATGGAAGAAATTAAACAATATGCATGTATTTGTCTAAGTCTACCACAAACTCATTTTCGAAAAGAATAATTATATCAATTAAGTGAGATGATGGTGTAGACATTAAAGATCACTTAAATTATTTTACTAAATTAATTACACAATTATATAACATTATTGAAAGTTGAGGACTAGGATAAAGCATTATTATTCTTGTTGTCTCTTCAAAACTCCTATAAGTACATTGTTGGTTGGAGAGAAATACTTGTAGAAGATGATGTGAATGTTGTATTATTGGAGAATAAAATATTCAAGAAGCTAAATGTTTAGTTTGAGTTAGGTATTTTCCTTCCTAAATGTGTAAATTTTTTAATATGTTCCAGGGCTACTATAATCTTTTCGTTTTAATGTGCTCACCATGGTCTTTCTATTTAAAAATTAACACCCACACAAAATATATTTTTTTCTCTTTTTTTTTCATCTCTCTTCAACTTTTTATCGTTTTCTCTCTCTTCCGTCCCACCAAATCTTTTTTTTTTTGGCTCCCCACCATATCGCTCCTAGATCTGATCATGGAAGGTGTATGTCAATTGTGGCAGCAATTCTGGCTAGGAGAGTTCAAGATCAATATGGAGCCCCACAATAACATGGCACCATTATGCAAAAGTCGTCTCATTGATCAAGGTACCAGCCAACGAGACGAGTGGACCATCATTCCAAGCTTGTCAGTTGTCACGAATAGATTCTCCCAAAAACTTAACTTAGTATGCCGAAATTTAATTCTCTATTAAAAGAATGAGAAATATTTTTCTCAAGTTACATAAAATTTTTTATCTCATGTCACAGACACATCGCAATCTGAGTCAGCATTTCTTTTTCTTTTTTCTTTTTTTTTTCTTTTAACTGCGGGGGACCCACCCAATTATATCTCTACATGAGATAATACTATCTCATGTAGCATGAGAAAAACATTACCCTAAAAGAATAAGGAATAACGAAAGATCAAACTCCAGATTACTTGATTATAGTTTTTGTGAAATTAAATCTCTCACAAACTTAAAACAAATTGGGTAAATACACACGGATGATTATTATTAATTTTGATAAAGGTACCCAAATTTAATTTTTTATCATTGAAAGGTCACATGTTTTTTTTTTTTTTTGGTACATGAAAAGTTTAAGTGGGGTTAGACACCGGTATTCCACTAAGGTTAGGGAAAATCCCAACCTCTTTAAGAATTTCTGGAAGGGATTACATATCACCCACCAACAAAGTTCTCACATCGGCCAGTGGAGTTTGAACTCACGCCCTTGAGGGGTATGGACCAAATTCTTAGCCAACTGCCCACCTTTATTGGCAAAAGGTCACATGTTTGAATCCTACAAAAAATTTCTTTACAAATATGTGAGGATAACATTGTATATATTCGAGCTAATTGTTTGGTAGGTCTAAGGGGAGCCAGTGGCAGGGAATTACCACCAATGAATTAAGTTAGACCAATCACACAAAGTGGATCCAACACCATATTTCAACGCACAATTTTAAGGTTTTGAGTTTATGGGTCCATCCACTTATATTCATTTCACTTAGCTCATTACTAACCAATGTGAGATTCATCACAATTGAATAACCTAATACTATTGAGAGTGGGTGAGGTATTGAAAGTAATCCTTTGGTTTATATTCGAGCTAAATACTATGTAATCTCAATTTTATAATGGAGATTTTTCTTGGACCAATAGTCCCATGATTTTTACTCTTTAAATTAAAGAAGGGTTTTTCATGTTAAAAATTTGGTGTATACTTTACTTTATTCCTTTAACTTACAAGTTCCAACTTGTTCAAATAAAAGACTTCAAATAATTCTTATCTCGTTTCCGCGCTAATTAACCACACTCCTTACCCAACAAATATCAATATAAATAAGAAGAATGTTATATTTACAAATTTTTTGTTTACAAACTATACTATATCTTACTGGTAAGACATTCTTGAGTGAAGTTTTACTGATAAGACATAATATAATTTGAAGAAAAAAAATTGTCAATATAACTCTCCTCTATACTACATTAACACCATAAGATGCACCAAGTTATAAAAACAAATTCACAAATTTAAATTTGTGATTTAAAATTGAAATCACAAATTTAATTTTGCAAAGCCAATTCTCCTTTTATATATTAATTGGAGTGCCAAACCAATATGAATAGCATATACTCTTTAGAAAATGGTTTGACTTAAATAGTTTCCTTAATTTCTTAGTGGATGTAACTTTACAGTTCCAGTTCCATAAATATACATCTCACATAAAAGAAACTATTACAGAATATTTATATCATATTTCAATAAAAAAAATTAAATATCAACAAGAATAATGTAGTGGAACTGCATATATATATCTTCATCTTCCTTTGATTTTATGCTGAAATCTTTTTTGCTGCCATAATTATCATCTCAAGTGAATTCTCCATACAAGACTTAAATTTTTGCTTGTCGATGAAATCTTTCTCCAATCCAAACGCAATCCTTAATTTTCCCATGTAGCTCATGATCGTTATGGTGAGACTCTGCAACTCCATGTGGTACCAAAATCACGTTAACAAATTTTCACTATTTTTCTATTTTCCTTTAGGAAGAAAAAAAAGAAAGAATATAATCTTATGCTACAGACACAAACCAATTATGGGTCCGACCACTAACTAAAAAAAGGAAAAGAAAAAAAAGGAAGGGTGGTGTTTTCATGGGTCAATAGGAAGGAAAATTATTCTACTTCAATAGGACAGTTGTTTTTCCCTTTAAAAAACCTAAGGGAAAAAGAAGTATCATATTAAATAACAGAAACTTGTGTCCTTTTAAGTGATTTATACAAAATATGACCGGTTATACTTTATGTAAATTTGATAAGTTACTTTTTTTCTCTCTACTCAGTCACATCGCTGACGTGTAAAGTGAAAAAAAAAAAACAATTTTTCAGATTTACACAAAGTATAACCGGTTATACTTTGTGTAAGTTATTAAAAGGGTTATAATTTGTGTAAGTCACTAAAAGGAAAGAACTTGTGTCTTTTTAAATGATACACACTAAACCCAAAAACTAAATATCTAAGTCATACTTTAAATAAAACATATAAGTTCTCTCTTTTAACACAAGATAAATATTAATTATTTAATTAAAAACTGCTGGATATTAGATTTTTTTGGTATGTTGACATTGATGAATGACAACAACTCACACAATTGGGCAACAACCAAATTAATGGTTCATTAATTATGAAGAACTTTTAAGATAAAATCTAATGGAAAACATTCTGATGGTCTGTGTGATAGACATGGATGCTTTTTTCCAGGGTGGAGGAAAAAGAAAGATATTTGTAATAGAATCAATGTCATACCTCTGGTGGACCAACAACCATAAAGTATAAACCTTTGACTGGATGATTAACCAAAGCCATTTGTTCCACTGGCCCAATAATGTTTGAGATTGTTGTGCTTGAGTTTCTTAAAGTACTGTATACATATCTTGCTGCAGCCTGAAATCCCACAAGAAAATAATTTACTTTGACTACATACAATTAATTTGGCATCAACTTCTTCTTTAGTTTTAAAATTTCAACCACTAAAAATATTACCTTAAGGTAAAAAATTAAAAAATTGAAAGCATGCATGATTTAATGAATACCCTCCAAAGAGGACCCAAATTCTTAATCTGTAGTTGAAAGTCAACTATAGAATTCAAGGCTGAATGTGCTTTAGAACAGTTTTGAAGAACACGTACTAAATAAAAATTCAGTTCTTGAGTTTCACAGTTATTTTCAATTCATCCCTACCTTTTGTATAATAATTGTTTGATTCAAGAGGATCATGATTAATGTGAGATCTATGAACTAATGGTGTCTATGAAGAAAATAATCGCAGATAGTAATAGATCATTGTGCACAATGAGAAGGCTAAGAGTCAATGAAGGAGGTGTGTATGCATCGTGATAATAAGGATATTAGGGTTTGAGAAGAATTACCTATGAGATTAAATCCTTTATTTATAAAGAGGTTTAGCTTATAATGAATAAAATCTATAATCTCCAAAAGCTTGTGGGGCTCATTATGTGGGTCCAGAATAATAATTATTTATATATACTTAGAATGTTTGTGCTACATGTTTGTTTACTTTAACCAAGTAACTGATAAAAACATAAGTATTTGAAATAAAATGTTTATTAACAATAATTCAAATACAAAAAGTTGAAATGATAAAAGGAATGAAATTGAAGCCAAAAAAGAAATCAAAGATCAAATTCAATTCCAGAAATTGAAAATTAAGACATGAAAAAGAATGCATTTATAAAACGTGAACATTAATTCAATTGCAATAAATGTTTTATAAGAAAGTTATACTAGGAACTAAATATGGATCAATACTTAAAAGATTAATATATGTACTGATGATTAGTTATGCTTTCTAGACATATTTAATAATGAAGAGTAATGACATTTAATCAAGTGTAGCTACCCACCTCAGGGCCTCTGAGTTTCTTCACCATATCTAAAAGCATGCCAGTAAGAGGTGTAGCCAGAGAATTTTTCTTCCTTGTGATCTCTTTATGAGCTTCCCATATAAACTCTAATGGGTTTGCAAATTTGGCATCACTTAGCTCTGGAATTGGTACATGCAAAAATGCAAATCGATTCCCCCATGCAGCAACATTATTGGTCTTGTCAACCATCTCCTTAACAGACTTATAACCTCCAATGTTTCTGGTATTCAGCAACACCAATGCTGTGGAATGAGCTTTGCTTGACTCCATGTTAATTTCTTGCATATATAACCGAATGCCAAAGAAAATTAAGCCAGAAATCACATCATTTATCCCCTGTAATTTGGTTCAAAAACAAATAAAAAAAAAAACTAGTGTTAAAATTATGGAAAAAAAGAGTATCCTTTTAAAAAACTCAAGCTTTTGTCCTTTTAGCATTTTTTACCTATGTATTTTCACGGATGCATAGTTATAATATTAAAGTTGTATTTTTTTCACTTTCCACGTCAGCACAGACAGCTTCTGAAAAGAGATAAAGAAATACAACTTTTTTTTTTTTGATAACTATGCATTCCCACGAATACGTAGTTAAAATTGTTAAAAGAACATAACTTGTGTCATTTAAAAGAACACTCACTAAACCTTAAAATTATATATAAATGAACGTCATTATTATAATATGTGACTAGTTATACTTACCATCAATTTACAATTACCATTTCTATTACAGTGGGATCAAATTTAGATACAGCACATGTAGTTTCTCATTCACCTCTTTTATTAATCTAACGATAATAGAGATGGTAATAAAATATGTTAAGCGTTAGATATATTAATATAAAACCATCAATGTGGACATCATTCATCATTTTAAGTTTTTGGGTTGAACTCTAGTTTAATATGGCTATGATGCCGTACAATATAACCAATTCAATTCAACAACTTAAACTTATAAATAATGTCCATATTAATGATTTTATATTAATATATCTAACGTATGAATCGGTAATAAGTATACCAGACTCTTATAGTATAGTGCTATAATTTGAGAGATTTCACCTACCACTCCAAGTTTAGATTTCACTTCTTTGATGTGATCCATAGAGAATGAGACATTTGAGATGGTAACATGCCTAAGCTTGATGTCTTCAGCTCTAGACCTTATTGGTGTTTGATCATCTTCAAGCAAGCTACTCTTCAATGTACTCCATCCAAAATCTGATATAGTGTGGAATGCTGAGGAGAAAATGGAGGGCAATCTCTTGAAACTTAAAGCTTTAGTTTTGAAAATTGATTTGAGTCTTTGGCTTGATGGGAGTGTGAAGGGAAGAGAAGGGTCATCAGCTCTTTGCAAACATGAAAGAAGAGCACCCATGAGAGAGTAACCATCCCCAAGTGCATGGTGAAGTTTGAATATCAAGGTACCAGCTGCATTAGTTGTTGGATATTTAATAATGTGAATTTCCCAAAGTGGTCTATGTTGTGGTAAATGTTCCATTGCTATTGTGGACATATACTCATCGAGATATTCATCATAGAATGAGTTGCAAGTGGGGAATATAGGAACGTTTATATGTTCCTCCAGCTTAACTTCAACTTTCTTCCATTTTCTCTCTCCATTTTTGTCCCTAATCTATTCAAGTAAGTACTCCATGATCAGAGGCAATAATAGAAAAAGAGTACATGTATATATAGTATATGCTTAATTAATGATAGATAGATGATGGATCTCAAATTTATGAATAGTTTTAATTTATTTGGCTGGATGAATTGAGTACTACTAAAAGAATAAACATATGCAATACATTATATAGTTTATTTCATTTCATCAAATCATACCCTTTTGACTAAATTATAAGAAAAATTCGCATTTTCTGTATGTTCTATATGCACGTACTATTTATAAAAAAAAAGTATTTAAAATAGGGAAAATCATTGTTGGATAGATTTTCTTTAACATGTCATTTTCAAAAAAAAAAATTGTTTAAAAAAAAGCCTCTATTTATAGCAGAACAATCACAGTCACAGCAAAAAAAAAAAAAAACAGTTAATATTTTGGAAAGAATAATTCGTCTGGTAAAAATATCTAACATATAATTTTCTTTAAATCAATATCAACATTTCGCAACAATACAGAAAAAAATTTCTCATAGCTATTCAATTTTCAGAAGGAAAATTTTAAATATAAATAAAGGATAAAAGATTTCTCCAGTTAACGGAGATAAATTATCTCCGATCAGCCCAAAACGACATCATTTTGGGACGAAAATTAAGATATTTTTATAATTCTAATATATTACAGGGTTATATTAGTCTTTATTATTATAATTTTTTAATCTTATAATCCTAAAACGATATCGTTTTGAGTTCACTGAAAATAATTTTATCTTCGATCACTGAAAAATTCCCATAAATAAATACAATTGGTTCAAAGTACATGGAATGACATCTATATATCAAAAGCTCTCCCTAAAAATACATTACTTTCATCTAAAAATATCATTTATGATATGATATGAGAATGTATTAAAAAATGCAGATTTGACCCTTTCCTCTCTTCACACTCTAATTAATGAAAAACTACACATAAAAAAAAAAAAAAAAAAAAAAAAAAAACTACATAAACCAATATCCTATCTCATTAATCCTTACATTCCCCTAATTAATAACTTATATTCAAACCCAACATTTTCATTAAGACCAAGATTCGGCTCATATTCCAAACATCATGAGTAGTACAGATCTTAAGACAGCCACTACTCCACACGCTTCTCATTTTACAAAACAAAATAAAATAAGTATATATACATAAACAAATAAGAGAGAAAAAGAGAATATATATAAAATTAGAGGAATAAGTCAATGAAGTTAAGATAATAATTACCATGATGGAGGAGAAGCGTGTGTTGATTGGAAGAAAAACATCATGAAGCAGTGACAGGGTTTGGCAGTCATCAAATGGAATCTCAAATTCTAAGACACCAAGAATATACACACACAATGCAGAACTGTTCAAGTATTGCCCTGTGGGACTCACTGGCTCTTCAACTTCTTCATCAAAGTTTTCCATTCTTTTCAGTGTTAACTAGCCACCTAATAAGTTGAATGGTAGATTAAGGGTTTCTTTTCTTTTCTTTTCTTTTTTAGTTTTTGTTGCTGTTGAGTTTCAGTTCTTGAGTTGGGGTAAATATATATAATGGGGAAAAAGAGAGAGAAAGATAAAAGAGGTTTTGTTAACATTTATTATATATCTATGTTTGTTTGGTCCTCTTTAATGGTCACACAACTAGCACCCCCCTAACCTTGACGGCTCCATAACTTACTGCAATGAAACTCTAGATTTACTGATAGCTTCAGCATTGAATACTACTTTAATTTCCCACCTAATCCAAGTATATTAGCTCCATAACGGTTGAGATAATTAAAGTGTAGGCTGTGTATAAACAACTACTTGCAAAACAAATAAATTAGTGACTTATTCCTTGAAATTATTAGCCACTTCATATTAGTTTTGTATTTAATTCAGGAAAAATATACTCTTATATTGTTGGAGAGTATTTTTCTCTCTTACATATACATCGATTTTCGTATTATTTCTTCTTCTTTTTTTATAGGTTGATGGATCCCACATATGATTATAATTATAGCATGAGAAAATTTCTCTCCTGCTACATGATATTAGGGATGTAAATAGGCTAGATTTTGGCTTAAATAGGCTATATCTGTGTAAAAGACATTGGGTTTGGCCTGGCCTGTTAGCCAGTGTAGGCCCCAAATTACAAGTTTGACCTGACCTATATTTAAAAAATAAAAATCCTGGCCTAAGCCTATTAGCTTGTTTAAGCCTATTAAACATTCAACAATTAAAAGAATAACTAAAATAATATTACTTTATCATTCAAAATTATTAAAATGATAATTTTATTTATTTTATTTAAAATAAATAATATGATATAGGTCAGCCTGTATGCCTATAGGCCCGACATATACAAAAAAAGCCTATGGCCTATTTTCTAAATAGATTTTTTTAAAAGTCTAAGCTTGTTCTATTTTACTATTTGTAATAGGTTAAGCATGGCCTAATATAGGCTAGGCCATAGACCTCTGTAGGCCGGCCTAGCCCATTTACACCCCTACATGAGATTAATAAAACCATTTAACTAATTATTTGTATGAGTTAACTTTGAATTTACAAAACTCGTATTAAACTTAGTTTTTCTTAGAGAACAAAATGAGAAGCAAAAAAGATGGGTTAACAAAAGTTGTATAAATTCAACCACAAATTAACCTATGTACATAATTAAATCTTGGAATTCAATTGTTGATGAAGAATGATTCCAAGAACTAGTTATTAATTTACTTTCAGAGAAATGAGCAATTTGTTATCAATAGGAAAAATGTACGGCTAACAACAATCCACCACCATAAATAAGTTTGATACGATACCTTAACCCAAAAACTCAAAGTGTTGACTTTATAATTCTCTTTTTTAGTTATATATATTTTTTTCTTTATCACTTCTTATCCGATGCGGGGCTTTATCACTTCTTCCTTGAATTCTCTACAATTTCTCTTTCAAATATGATTTCTAAAGTCTGTCAAGTGTAGACAAATCATTGCTTCCGTTATCACTGTTATGCGGCTAGGGGAATCCAAAATCAGGGGATACAAATCATGATAAAGGAGCTTCATAATTTCTTTCAACCCAAAACTTTAAAGTATTATACATATTTTTCTTAATTCATTCCTACCTGATACATAATTAACTTCATCACTCATATTTTAATTCCCTAGGTTCATTGTTTAGTAATGAATTAATTAGTTGAGCAGCCTAGATCTCTTATAAGAGATTTATACAACAATAATGATGCTTTGGTTTTGCTTCTTTCCTCTTTTCCATTTCTAAGAGAGCATTGGTTTGATATCAAGGATGACTTTCTAGCTCGTTTCCAGTAGTAGAGTAGGGTAAATAGAGTTCTGCTAAACTTTTGATTGAATTTATAAGAGAGCATTGGTTTGATATGTGTCAAACTAAAAAGTTTAACACCAAATATTAATAATTGATTTTCATCAATTTAATGGTTATAATTTATTGATAATGAATAATTAATTAATAAATACGACTCAATAAATTATAATCATTATATTCATGAAAATCAACAGTTAAGGTTTGATGTTAAAATTTATAATTTGATACGGTGTCAAACGATCCTGTCATATATATATACTGAAATTATGCTTTCATGTTATAGGAGAGCAAAAAATTTTCATGCACAAATTCGTTTTCCGTGCCAATTAATTTTTTTTTTCTTTTTTAATATAAAATGTGGGACCCACATTTAATTTGTCTCTACTTTTGTTCTCTCATGCTATCATGTAACATAAGAAAACATGAACCGATATATATATATATATATAGGGAAAATATTATCTTATGCTGTAGGAGAGTATTTTTCTCTCCTACACATACATCGACTTCCGTGTTGCTTTTTTTTCTTTTTTTCTTTTTCTTTAAGTGAGTGAGTCTCACTCATAACTATCTCTATGACATAAGAGAGCTTCTCTTATGTCACATGAAATTAATAAAGCCCATATATATATATATATATATATATATATATATATATATATATGGGAAAAACTATTCTCATGTCACATAAGGTAAGTTTTTTTCCTACACACCCTTCGATAACCGTGCAATATTTTTCTTTTCTTTCTTTTTTATTTTTTAGATGATGGATCCCACCACTATGTGTCTATAACATGAGATTTCTTCTCTCATACAACATGAGACTAGATAAGCCATATATATATATATATATATATATATATATATATATATATATATATATATATGAAAGCCATAGTGCTGATACCTAATGTGGTAAACCAGATACCTAAGAAGAAATGTTGGAATCTCGTCGATCTCATAAGTATCATACCAAATCCCATCAATCGAATCGTTTTTTCGAGAAATACGAGACATCTAAGTTATACAAGTCAAGCCGCTGTCACCCCAGAATGAAAGGGGCGATCAAGTAGTTCTTGGCAGTTTAGTCTCCCCATCTTTTGTTCTGTTCTCAAGTCCAATCTTTATTGTTTTCTTTTTTGTTACCTGCTTATATTATTTTGGCAGAATACCAATTCCTTGGTACTTTTTACATTTTCCATTTTCCATTGCACTCGTAGCTTGGGGAGCATGATTCCATTCTTGTCTTGTTAGATTGTGAGAATATGACACTGAAATCATTGAACAGAAGATGCTTATTGTTTAATGCTGATTTAAGTTTCCATTTATGGTTTTGATTTTTATTTTTTTGGTGAATTATGTTTTGAATTATTTAATGATATGTACATTATATGAGCTTGAAAATATGTGATGAATCGATGTGTAATAACTGAATTAAGTTAATAATTATTTGATCAATATAAATAAGGCTGGGTCCATTAATAGTATCCAAAAACATTTCGGTCCAAGTTTTAATAACTGCACATGCATTGAAGATAAAATTAAGAGTGAATCATCTACTCACTCATAAATAGACATTATCATATCAATTATTTAAATATTTTTATTATTAATTTAATTTTTTTTAAACTAGATATTACCACATTATTTTTTAAGAACATTTATTATTAAATTAATATATAAAACATATAAATTAATTATCAAATTTATCTTTTTCTGTTACTATTTACTTTAATAAATTAATTTAGTGACAAAAATATGACACCCAAATCTTTATAAAACTAAATAATAAGTTTATAAATTAAAAAGTTTACTTGAAAATTAACCATTCTGTCCTATTACACGCACGGAGCGCATGAGTGCATGAGTTTATATCTGATATGAATTTTCTGTTAGAGTATATAAATTTAATAGACGCTTATGATTGTTCATGTCGCATGTGAGTGCGCATGCGGTTATTAATTTCGCCGCATAAACAGACAGAGAGGCACAACAATTGCAAAAGTATGTGTCCGTATTTAAATTTTATAATCTTAAATTTTGATATAATTTTAGATTAATATTTGATATTTATATATATATTTCACTTATAACTCGAGTGATAATACTATTTCATTTACTGTTTATATTATAAATTTTGATATAATTATTCATCAATGAAAACAATGTAATTAAAATAAAATATATGGCATTGACTCAAGAAAAAAAATCTACTTTTTAAAATTTGGTGACTGTGTATCCAAAAATAAAATAAAATTGGCAACTGTGTCAATAAATAAAGTTTAAGTTCATTTCTATCGTAAATATAAATAAGTTATCTATATTTAATTCCAAACTGATGTCGTTTTGGATTAAAAAATTAAAAAATTATAATGAGAAAGACTATTATAACTCTGAAATAAATTTAATTACAAAAATATCTTAATTTTTATTCTAAAATAACGTTATTTTGGGCTCAATATAAATAACTTATTTACATTGAACGCAGAAAAAACAAACCCTTTATTAAGTCACGTATTTAATTGTACGATTTATCCCTTTCAAAGTAACAGTAAACTTGGGGGGAAATGTTGGCCGCAGTATATTTTCTTGCTAACACACGTTACATTTTACATTATCAATAATTAATTATTTTTCATTATACTTTATTTTTATGCCCCTGTTTCAATCAAACAATCTCTGATTAATATTTTATTTACTTCGATTTTTTTTTGTACTAGTCCTTGCTGCATTTTATCATTTCTTACTTATATAGATAGATACGTGAATACATTTAAAATTAAAAAAAAAAGTGCAAAGAAATAGAAAATCAACAATAATTATTAAATAGGAATTTTGGCCTACCTAACGGTAAGCATTTCGAAAGTTATAGGACAAAACATATTAGGTGAGTATGAACTAAAAGTAGAACAAGGTCATTTAAAAAGTTGTAGGGCAAAGGAAGTGATGTCCTATCAATATTTTTTTTAGTACATTTATGTCCTATCACTTTGTGCTTGATTGAACATTGCTTTCCTTTTTGTGTTGATATTTTAATTAGGTGTCATGGAAAAAATGATTCCTTATTTGTTTCAAGATAATGATGGGTCCAGTGACCTAAAAATCTGATTTAGATT